ACGAGTTGCAGATCCATGTGTATGGATCATCTATGAATGCTATGTATGGCTTCCGTTTACGACCTCGTCCGCGGGAATCCCCGTATGTCGCAAGATACGGACGTGTGGTCAGACCTTGTGTTTAAGGGAAAACGTGTTGAAATACAATCTTGTGGAACATGATGTGCATGTGCATGTGCACCTTGAAATGGTGGATATGAAGTACCAGATAGAGGTGCGAGAGGCAGTAGTTGCAATAAGTGCGAGAGACAACGTGTGATTGACTGATTTTTTGCTTTGAATGTTTTTTCGGAAACCCCCCCTGTCTACTTTGCAATGTGCGGTTCAGTGAATTGAACATTTCTCGTAACTCTGCGTGCGGTGTTTCCATTTACGAAGGTGCAATGTTAGGAAAAAACTATGCAAGTTGTGAGTGTTTCCATCTCCACGTTGCGGTGACAAGAGTAAATGTTTTGAATGGATGTTATGTATCTTGTACATGCAAAGAAATGACACGCTGATTATCTTGCAAGTGTTTCGATCTCCGATGTTCATGCCAATGGCTTACAGTCCTATACATGCTCATGTGAAGGAGGGGATCGATGTTTGCGATGACAAGAGTGAATGTTAGGAATCTATGTTATTGATTTGTCCATGCAAATGACAAACCAGCATCCGTATTGTATCAGCGCGCTGATGGTGTGCGTTCATGTTATCCATCTAAATGAGAGTACACTCCGACTTGTGCTGTGTACCCTGAGCAATCCGCTAGTTGTCCATGCAAATGTCCAAGAACTGATAACCTGCGGGATCTGGAGTCCAATTCTGTTTCTTGAGTGCGAAACTCTGCTCGAAACAGATCCAAATCCAACAGGAAGTCCGGCCACACACCAAGGTTCCCTTATAGTGCGTGACCATCCGCACAGACCGCCAACGACTGTTTGACACTTGTTAAAGGTGCTCAGTCACCAAACCGATATCTGCGAATTGATTCGCTGTTCAACTAGTATCTGTCAATGCCTTTCCAGGTTAAAGGAAGGAGCTCTCTCTCTCTCTCTCTCTCTCTCTCTCTCTCTCTCTCTCTCTCTCTCTCTCTCT